CATCATCATCATCATCATCATCATCATCATCATCATCATCATCATCATCATCATCACCACACATCCCATAAACCATCCTCAAAATCACCTCCACCACTTCCCGCCCGGTCAACCCGGGTCACCCAATCCCCATCCTGCCCATCCGCCGCCGAAGCCCCTCCTGCCTCGACGCTGACGATCAGCGACTTGGGGCACTTGGGAAAGCTTTCGGGCTTTGGCTTCAGACTCGCCAGCAAGGCTTCCTCAGCGGCGTGGCCCCCAGTTTTTTGAGGGGTCAACGATCAACATACCGGACGTGTCGGTGTGAAGGAGGAACCCAAAAGCGCCTGGAGGCGCCAAGTGAGGTACAGAACAGCGAAGGATCCACCAAATAGATGAGACATTGGGTGACGTCTCCGGAAAACCCAAAGAGGCACAACAGCTCCGGGGAAGACTTGGGAACAGCTCCATGTCTGCGCAAAAAGCCAAAGGATTTCTTTAATACCTTTCCTGTTCCTCTTAGTCACTGACCTGACAGCTATAAAGCTTGCCCCCCCTCGTCATGGTCTTCATCGACGTGGCCGAGACCGAGTGGCGAGGCCTCCCTCCTGCCACAAGGAGAGGAGCAGCAAGATCTTCTGCCGCTGTTCCGTGGTCAAGAAGGCCAATGGCCTCTCGTGTCGGGCGCATGTTCAGATCGGATCCGGTCGAAGCAGGGCTCAGCTCGACGACACCGACACCGACACAACTGCCAATCCGGATTGCCGAGTTTCAAGGCGCAGGGGGATGGTGGGTGGTTGAAAGGGGGTCTTTCTGGGGCGGCAGTCCGTCCTGGCAGTCCATGGCGGTCGTGTCTGGGTTCTGGATCTTGCTTCAACTTTCCGGCTAAATGGTTGGATGCCACTAGTGGGTTTGGTCGTAAAATCCCGTCTGAAGGACTCAGCTAAGAGGATAGATTGCCACCACATGCCACGACCATCTCATACCACAGATTGCTACCTGCCCCCATTCTTGGATGGGCATCACTCATCCTTCCTTCCTTCGCTTCGAATGAATTCATCGAAGACACCGATCCAAAACCAACACGTCAGGATTGCCTCAGATTCTTCGCATGCCAGCATGCTCGTCCGAAAGCGCGTGGTCATTCGTTCAAGTGGGTTGCAGGCGCCCTCCCTTTCGTGGAGCAGAGAACTTGTGGCAGCGCAGCTTCACCCGCTGGTTCACCAGTCGTGTACGTTTGCACATTGATTTGCTTGAACCTCAGGAAGATTGCCATGAAGTTTGACCGTTGACAAATCATATCAATGCCAATCTTTTGGGAGTCTTTGATCAATCTCCAAGATGATGTCTAAATCACATCGGGCATCATCCGGCACTACAAAAAAGGAGGTCCTTGCTGGAGTCCAAACATGCCGGGTTTAGGTGTCATTTTTTTGCGATCTCTCAAGGCTATACTGATCAAAGAAACAACGTCCAGACCATTGGCATCATTTGCAAATCCAGTCGAAAGTCTTAACCATATTTCATATTTCCTTAAAATGGGCAAAGCAAAAACCATCTTCCGGGTCCACAAAAGACTTCGATTTGGAGCGCCATATATTTCCACACATCCATCAAGTCAAGAATCAAGGAGGTCTGTGCATGAGAACGCACCATTTATCTAGCCGTAGTTATTGTTTTATTATGTACCCAATTTTGACGATCACAACAGACTCCCCCTTCTCATATACAAACCTTCATCCCTCAAGCTGTTGACCCGGCGGAACTTACCACACTACACCACCCGCTACCGCTGCACCGCTACTGCTGGGCCAGTGGCTGAGCATGGCGAGGATCAGTGCGATCGCTTGCAGCTGCCCTGCTTGAAGCTCTTCCAACCTTGATCCGGCAGCGAAGATGAGGATTTATAGGGCGACGATTTGTATTCAATACTAGATGCCATGTATTTAGCACATCTCGTTCAATGGTTGGTCATATGGGTTTAGAAGATGTTAGAACTGATGAAGCTCTCAAAAAGAATTAGCAACAGTATTTTAAAACATCACCACAAACAAACAAAGCACAAGCACCATCACAAACAAGCAGCCACAAACACAAACACACAGCCACGAACACACAATCACAAACACATAACCACAAACACAACCACAAACATGCAATCGCAAACACAACTACAAACACACAGCCACAAACACACAACCAACTGGAGACCCTGGCGACAGGGTAGCACTTTTGGATTCCAACTGGAGACCCTGGCGACACCCCGACGCAAACTCCTTAACATCAAAATAACAATCCCAAACCCGAGGACACACAAGCAACATCCAAAACCACAAAGCCCACGACCATGGCAACATGCTCCTCACCATGAAAACAAATGTCATGGTGGGGATCACTAAGTAAAGTAATGATTGAAACTAATTTAATGAGCTTGGAGGCCATTGTTATTTGTGATTGCAGCTTCCCCAAGTTCTCCATGGATTGCAAATGATTGCAGCCAAAGGAAAACAACTTGTTGAATTTAGGCAAGCAAATAGTTTGCTCTCAGTACTACGGACTCAGTGCAGAATCTCTGGGTGAAACTGCTTCATTAAGACTGTTTCTTTCGTTTTTCTACTGTTGGCTAAATGAAAGAGTACGTTGTTTGGTTTCCCTAGATCTATCCAAAAAAAGCGATCGACGTCTGTCAACCCTTGGAGATTTGGGATCTGGTGGTATCAACAGCCATGTCTTCTCATGTCTTCTGACCTTTGTTAGCTTGCCAGTGTCAACAAACCCTTTGTTCTCCACCGTCGCCCCACGTCATCCACTCCGAGCGTCGTTTCATCCGGATCCCATTCGAACCTCGCGTCAACTGCGGCGGCATCGCGGCGCGAAACGAGGACGACCGGGTGGTGACCGGAGCGAGATCGGAGCGAGATCGGAGCGAACGGTTTCCCCAAAGGACCTGGGACGTTGTGGCGAGCTGAATACACATATATATATATATAAGTATAATATATATATATATATATCCTGATTGTATATATATATATATACCTAAGACACCCAAGCATGTCAAAAAGACATGGAACATATAGGTATAGTACGACATATCATACGGGTCGGGCTATTCAAGACAGGCTATTTGGGGAAAAGCGAGAGGGCACTCCTAGCTTTCTGTGCTCTTTGATCCGTCTCCGGAAAAGGACATGTTTCGAGCAGTACCCAGTGGCTTTGGAGAAGGAAGATTGATTCGTCACAACGTGGATCCCCTCGATCGCTCTATGAACGATGTGTCGCGATGCATTCTAGTTCGCACTGGTCACCAAGTGATCCTTGGGGAACGTGGTGCAAGTTCAACCTTGCCAATTGACTGGAGTCATTCATCTTGGGTCTGGATCCTCTGAAAGAATGCAAGCACAAAATTTTCAAAACTACATCCGAGCAAAGCAGGGGCACAGCAAAAACCACAAGCAACAAAAACGCTTCTCCACATTTCTCCACCCAAGGTTGGGGACTTGTCGACTTGCCCTGGGCACGCTGCTGTCAGTTTAAGGATGCTTTTGGTGAGACACATGGTCCCAGGCGTCCCAGGTTATGTCATAAGGACTTTGACCCCGGTGAAACTGCCCAACTTGACTGAACAATGATTCGATCAATTGACTCTTCTCTCTGATTTGGGGGGGCAGTTGGGCGATCCCACCCCGCAAGAGTTGGGTGTACTGAGCTCAAAACATCTAAAAGCGGGCCATCCATGGCCTTCTCTAGAAGCATCTGCCCACTCCCTGAGGTATGCAAACTGACAGTCGTCTCTTTCGCCAAATCACGCAACCGCCCGTCCTTCCCCTGCCCCGTTCTGCACAAGCACAATCGACTGGCGCCAGGCAACATCATCAATAAACGCTTCAGCACCTCTGGGTGCTTCTCCACATCAGCCTTCAACTCCTTCGGGCGAACAAAGTGCTCGGCCGATTTGGGCGCATCTCAAGGTCAGAATAGGCACCCCGTCGCCAGAGCTGTGGATTCTTGGGAGTCGGGTGCTTTTGACTCAGTGGGCTGCTCTGCGCGGCGAGTGGATCAGCATCGCGTCGCGCGCCCAAACCCCTAAAAGGTGTCCTCCTCTCATGATTCGCGTTTTGGGGATTTCTTGCATCAAACGTTGTGTCAAACCCTGCAGTGCCTGCGACATCTCTTCTCTGCCCGGGCGGCGGAAGTTTCTAGGTATCTTCCCCAATCGTCCAATGAATACTTGCCATGAGAACAAACAATCAGCCGTTTTTTCCCTGACCACTTGCAGCTTGCCGTCTGGCATACTTGAGTGCTTCTTCGACATTTAGAGAACGTTAGTCTTGCCACGATTCTCGGTTGCTTGCTTTGGTCTTGGTTTGATGTGATGCAAACCTGCCTTTTCCACTGTTCGGCACCCAGTCCAACTAAAGGTCCTTTGGAGTGCTGGTGGGAGAACCATTCTCCATATACCCTGCAATCAAAGCATCCACCAGTGGGTCACAAAAGGAATAACCTCTATCGGGTCCCTCCCCCAACCCTCCGCCGCAAAACATCCCCACTCACAACTGCTGCAAAAACCGCATGTGGTCCGTCCTCCAGTACAGTGGCATGAGGCGTGTGCAAAGCCACTGCAGGGATAAACGTGATGCGGACACCCTGGAGGCGGATCCGTCGGATCCAGAGCCATGGAGCGAAATCCCGGAAGTCGAATGGATGTGATTCGGAGTGGCACGGCCATGAAACAACCTGGACCTTCCAACGACCCAAACAAATTCGGGTCGTTTGGGTGAATTGTTATAATACTGTACTTTGACATACTTTTGGAAGGCATGTTCAATGAGTTTGTCCAAGTATAGACTGAGTGGCATTTTGGACACCTCTTCTGGCACTAACTTCCAGGGCAAAACGGGAAGCACAACAGGCGAAAGTGCCAGAACGACACAGAATAACTTAATCGCAATGTTTTCCTGCTGGCCACAAACAAAGTTTGCTAGCTACTCCGGCCATGAATATCAGTGCCACCGTAATAAATTGGAAGACCCCTCACAGCATCCAAAATAAGCCTTTCCCCAACAATTCGGGCCCTCAAAACACATAGGGTTTGAGGATCTGGACCGGTCGGACCTGAGGGTTGGTCAGTTTTCCATGCACTCCCTCCCTCTCCTGCAGGACGCCCCGCCTGGGGTCTCCTCACCTTACCGCGCCGGGGAGCTTTCAACTCTGAAACCTGGCAGAAAGTCGCCAGCGGTACTACGGGCAGTGTTTGTCCAACTTCCTCACCACAAATCCTAATTTAGACATTCATGACATGTTGATTCATTCCTCTCATGCTTGAATTTCGTGGTTCCGGTGTTCCCCCTTGACAGCTACTCAGAATGAGGACTTGGAATCATGAGGATAGTTGAAACCGCGCCAGACGCGCATCCATGCCCTAAAACAACCGGTACTTCTATTTGGATCAGGAATCTCCACTTTCTCTGCTTCTTCAAATGCGTTTCATAGGGTACGTTTGGATCAGACATCCAAAAACATATTATGTTAAAAAAGGCATGTGTGGTGCACCAGATACACCGTGTGGCAGTCACCTCTTTCTACTTCTTGCCGGTGGATGACCTCCTCGCGAAGTCGCCCGGCGCGGTCTTGGCCGGACGAAGTCGGTTCCCGGTCGAGTGAGATCGTGCACCTGGTAGAGGAAGTTCAGCAGATATCTCTCCTGAGCCGTCCAACAACACGACGAGCGGTAGTGAGCGGTCGTATACGGACGCGACTCTGATTTAAACAAGAACGGGGCGCTGCTGGCCAAAACTGGGAACAAGAGGCATCGCTACTAATAGCTACGGAAGTTTTCATGAAGAGACCGTTGAAACCGAAGCTGACTGAGGTATCCATCAACACTAGCGAGCATACTATATAAAACATCTTTTGAGGGAGATCACGCACTCCCAGGCAACACTTGTGATCTCGAAGATATCGTGTCACTTGTTGAGCCGCAACTGAGGCAATTGGCCAGTGTCAGGTGTGAAGACATGTGAAGACCATCCCCCCAAGAAGACTCGTGGGGACTTGACACATCCCTAACACCGCTCACCCGCGGCAGATCTAGGCGGAGTGCGAACGATCTCGTCGGTGGAGAACGGCACGCCGGCTGGACCCAAGCGGACGCCAGCGTCGAGACTCCTAAGCGCAAGGGCCTCCAACCTAAGAGCGATGGCCTCCAACCTAGTGTCTGACTTATAATAGCTTCATTCTTGGTCAGTTCGTAAGATCACAAGAGTCCCTCATTGAGATACATCCTGTTTCCCGTTTCCACCCGGCCTCCGCATCCGGACACGACGATCCACCCCTCCCGTTCGGGCGTGCTCGCTTCGCTGGTGTGGATCGATGCCGAGTCGCTCGTTGGCTGGTCACACGGACCACCCGACCTAAAGGGATCCGCAAGGCCTTCCGCACCACCCTGACGCCCGGCACCGTCGGCGACGCGACGGACGCGACGGCGACCGGATGCGGTGCGGTGTTGGGGTGTTGGGGGTGCTGGGGGCACCAAGACGGATGAGTCAATTCAATTCGATACTTAAAGTAGTACACCAAGTTCATGCTATTGAAATACAAACCAATTCTGGATGAGGTACAAGGAGTTCGTGCGCATATAGGCTTGGGAACGTTCTATGGACACCTCTAGAAGAAACACTTGAGAATGACATGCCTTTCAAGTCTTCAGTGATCTTCAGCGAATAGACCCACACTGGCATGACATCATGGCATGACGGTGTAGGAGAAGGGTGTGGTGTCCAACCGCTTGGGTGTGTTTCAACAAAGCGCTTGAACACCTAGGGACGGGTATGTATAAACATATCTCATTGCGTTGAGAAACTCCTTGCTTGATCTTGATGCAGAACGAAACGAGATCAACACAGCTAACCAGCTTAACCCTGTACCTCCTGCATATTTTGGACATGATTTTTCCAATGCCCATATCCATAGCCTGATTTTGCCAAACCCTCTACACGAGGGCTCGCTGAATGGGTGGTTCAACCCTCAACCAGGTCGTGGATCCCTTAATCCCTAGGGCTCCAGTCGTCCCTTCGTTTGGAAGGTGGGACTGGCGGCCCGGATGCCAGGCGGATCCAGTCATACCGAACCTCAGGTTCGGTACGACCGGAGCCCTAGGAATAAGTTGCTTCGTTAAAAAGAACATACAACACATGTGTTCTGGATTCTCACTTAAGTTTGTTGAGGGCTGACGGTCCACCACCAGCCGCAAGTTTCAAACCATCCATACATTTATATACCCCATTGAAGACCCCCATGTATAGTGTAACTATTCCATATAGATGGATTGTCTTGGATATGTGAAAGCTGCTGCTTCCAACCTGAACAAAGCACAGTACCTGAGCACAGTCGTACAAGCTTCCGCGTGCCACGTGCCACCGGAAGCCGAAGCGTGTTGCCACCGGAAGCCGAAGCCGACGACATGTGACGACAACCCCCCCCTCCATGGATGTCCTGGTCCTCAAACGGTGGGTTCCCCCGACCCATCAGGTGATGCAAGAGCTCTTGGAGGTGCTTCCAGGTACTCTTCAGCTCGCCACCGAAAAAGTACTGAACATGACATAAAAGACCTCTTCCTTAGTCAGTCAGGGTACTTCATCTCGGGGGTTCACTCACAAACTCGGGAAACATGATCTAACATGATCTAACCTCCTCCGGCCAACAGCCCAGTCTCCCCAGAGTCCGATGCGCCGGAGATCAGGGGTTCGAAACAACGGCCATGCATCAAAAGTCGGCGGCCTGGACAAGGGCACCAGGGGCAATGCTCGACCTGGGGGGCTGTCGTCTTGCGGTGGGCAGGAATGTGGGTCATCAGCTGTGTCTGCACTGATCTGGACGGATGTTCCGGTTGTTGACATCCGGAAGTGACTGTTAAGAATGGACAACACCGAACCTCAGAGTGGGTGTTGGCCGATTCAATCAACAAATGGCAAACTTGAAGGACGTCTTCCATCAGGGCCTGCGTTTTCTTGCGTTTCATGAAGTTGAGATCTGTGAGTGGTTCATTGCCCGTCAAACCCAGTGAAACACATGTCTTCCTGGTGGTTGTGGATGAACCGACCCCAAATTCATTCCCAAAGACCTCGTAGACCCTGAACAGCATCATCAAGCAGCATTCAACATCATCGAATGGCAGTGAGTGTGTATTTTTGCATGAGAGACCCCCTGTAGACTGGAGGTCGTTGCCTGGGAGGTCTCCCTGCTTGAGCAAATCCGTGCTAGAAACCCCTCACGGAACCCACAGGCCCCCCACTCTTCCGCAGCTAAGGAGCCTTGGTCTTCATCTTCAGCTTCAGTTTCAAAAATGATTTCTGATGTCCTGAGATCTGCGAAACTCGACGTCAGTCAACGTCGACGTCTACTTTCCCCATGTGCATCTCCCGAATTTGCAAGATCTGATCTCCGGACCGCAAGGAGCTTGGTTGCTCTCCAATCGAAGGGTGCGTCCGGATTGACCGGAAGACACGTCCTCTCCCAACCGCTTGCCGGTGCGGCAATCGATGGAGCAAACGTTGGCTCCGTGTTGCCGTGAGTCTTTTGCAGTCCGGCGACGCCGGTGTTCGAGGAGACCGAAGACGCTTCAAGCTGTTCACCGTGCGAGCGAGATAAAACCGGGGTGCACATCCAATTCACCATTGCTGACCGTCGGTGAAACAACTCAAGTCGCATCTTCCCGTGAACAACCACAACAACACATGCTTTCCATCATCATTCATGCGAACCAACACTTGATTTAACATGATTCAACAACTGTCAAACAAAACACATTTGAAACCATCGGACGCAACCGTGGCCCCGCTCTCCGAGTGCTCAGTGCTCGCGGCGTTCCGCTTCCGAGGCACGTGACGTCGTGCATGACACGGCCTTGGAGACACGGGAAGAGACGGACGCGTGGAATCATTCAGGATCCCCCACTCGATGGTCCCATGTCTAAAGATTCTAAAGAGAGTAGCTTGGTTGCGCCGGTGTCTTGAGGAGGGAATCTCCGCGAAGTGACCAGTTCATACCAGGTGCTATTTGGCAGGGTACGCTAGTTCTTCCACTAAACTGTTGAACATTCAGGTTGACCCCGTTCGTAGAAAGCGTGGACTACGACCGCGAGGCTTGGTGCTGCGTCTTCCCCGTGCGTGCCTGCGTCTTCCCCGCGGTCTTCCTGCGTCCCAGCGGCCCTCCTTGGTGGACTGCGACAAAGAGCGTTCGGGCCAGTTCATGATCTCCGCAAACCTCAACTCCAGGGCAGTCGGGTCGTTGTAAGGTTTCTCAATTCTCAAGACCGCGGAGAAAAATTGCTCTGCCATGTTCTGCCATGGTCCTCCCCAAACGGATTCGTGTGGCAAGCAACTCTTGAACATGATTGTTTAAAACCACTTGGGTGGTTTTCCAATGACCTCATGACTGCCTCAAGCACCTTCATTCATGACAGATTCTCAGGGCCTCTTTCATTAGCCTCAAATCGTCAGCCGGTCGCTCGCCGGTCGCGCTTTTTCACATGTGTTCGCCCACTTCGATCTCGACCCAGCAGCTGTTGCAATCCCACCGAGGCGGAATACATCTTGATGAACGACTGGACGATCTTCACCAGATATTTGCCTCGTCGGACTCGTCCGTACCGTCTGAACGTCACCCGACCCGAGATCGACGGCCGGTGGACCGACCCTTTATGGCGGAGGAGAACACCTGTGAGTGGAATCAGAGGTGGGCAACCTGCAAAAACACATATACTTAATTCGTGGTGACACATCATTAGTCTAAGAATGTATAAATTGGATATAGCTGGCTGTTGTATTGCAGAACAAACGCAAATCCAGGTCCGGTCACAAGAAAAATTTAACGAAAAAAATGGAATCCAGTCCTGAGAGAAACACGCACACAGTCAGGGTGTCTATTAACAACCCTTTCCGTGGTGCAGGTAATCCAATCCCAAACTTAATTAAGGGACACTGGTGAATTGCAAAGTTGCCAAACGAGACCTTCACAACTGCTTGCCCTCCCCTGCTGCCCAGCACACCGAAGCTGGAGAAGATCTTCCTCGTTTGCACACGAGTTTGCTGGGCCAGGGAGTTGGTGAAAAATTCATCGGCCAGGTATGTCCAAATACTACTGTGGTTCAGGGGTCCGATTTTCAAGAGCAATGGATGTTCTGTGGTTTTTGTGCCACTGGCACCTCTCTTACCCGCTGAGACTCTCCATCTACTCAACAAGTTGAAGATGCAAACGCTCTGCACATCCAACCAAGTGCCATATCTGCATTGGCTGCAGCCTCCCAGTCTCTCAGAAGGATGGACTCAAAACAACGCGCGATCTTTGGACAATGACCCATCTCAGAGGGTTTTTCCAACGTTCTACTGATTGGAACCCCAAAACAACTCCAAGGGATTCCATTCCAAGTTGCCAAACTTGACCTGTAGATATTGTAAGTCCACCTGGACCTTGCAGTTGTTTTGGGTCCAGTGGTTGGTTCATGACCCCACTTGATGGGTTATAATGTTGGACGTTGATTAGTAATGAGGCCCTCTATAATGCTAAATTTTGGAAAACTATTTTTTGACACCCTGTTTGTTTTAAGGGTCCTCTAATATGCTAAAATTCATGGGGATCCTAATTTTTAATCATCTGAAAAATATTTAGGGTTAAGTATATTTCCTTTAGGAAAATAGAAATAACAATTCTTAATACTACTAAGCCAATGGTTGGCTTTCTGAGAGTATCGATAAGTAAAGGTTTCCATAGTTCTTCTTCACAACTGACAGCTTCCCAAAACCATCAATTCCCTAATCCTTCCTTTATGAAACGACTGCTCCTGAACAAAATTTCAAGGTAGTAGACCAGGAAGGCCCGTGATCCTCAATAATGAATTTGCTTTAAAGGTCTTAAAATGTGCAAAGTTTAATCCTGAAGAAAACAATAGTAATTCATCACAGTTGATCCTCATAGTAATCTAAGAAGTACTACTACTACTACTACTGCTGCTACTACTACTACTACTACAACTACTATTACTACTACTACAACTACTACTACGACTACTACTACGACTACCTCTACCACTACCACTACCACTACTACCACTACCACTACCACTACTTCTACCACTACTACCGCTACTGCCACTACCACTACCACTACTTCTACCACTACTACTACTACAACTACTACTACTACAACAACAACTACTACAACAACAACTACTACTACAACTACCACTACCACTACCACTACCACTACCACTACTACTACTACTACTACTACTACTACTACTACTTACTGCCACTACTACTACTACCACTACAACTACTGCTACTACTACTACTACTACTAGTACTACTGCTACGACAACTACTACAAATCAACTACTTTTACTACTGCTACTACTTCTACTACTACTACTACAACTACTACTGCTACTACTACTATTACTACTGCTCGAAGACCCTGTCGCCATAATGGCTTTCAACTTCCAGCTGTCTGTTTTCATGAGGCTAAGAATCACAAAGACTTGAGCAGAAAAATGTTTGTACCGGTTTCATGCCTTCTGACCCTACAAGAATTCGCCCTTCTTGCTCGTCTTCAGTGTCTTGATGGAGATGACCACCGGCCAGCATCAGATTGGAGCCTTTGATCTTCACATTGCGCACCACTCGCTCTTCACCTCCACCATCATCATCGTCTCCGGAGTAGTAGTAGAAGTAGAAGTAGTAGTAGTCGTCGTCGTCGTCGTAGTCAAAGTAGTAGTAGTGGTAGTAGTAGTAGTAGTAGTAGTAGTTGTTGTTGTTAGCAGTAGCAGTAGCAGTGGCAGTAGCAGAAGCAGCAGGAGTAGTAGTAGTAGTAGTAGTAGTAGTGGTAGTGGTGGTAATAGTGGTGGTAGTAGCAGGAGTAGTCAAAGTAGTAGTGGTAGTAGCAGTAGTGGTAGTAGTAGGAGTAGGAGTAGAAGTAGTAGTAGTAGTAGTAGTAGTAGTAGTAGTAGTAGTATTCGTCGTAGTGGTAGTAGTAGTAGTAGTCGTACTGTAGGAGTAGTAGTAGTAGTAGTAGCAGCAGCAGCAGCAGCAGCAGTAGATGTTGCCAAGGGGCAGCGCATACAGCGCCAGCAAGCGCTTGCCGCACGCCTGCTTGGGCGGTCGTTGCGGTCGTGTGTGGGTCCGCTGGGGTTGAGGGTGACTTCTGCGGTTATTTTGTTTCCGTCGGCTTCTGTGTGGCGATATTCTAAAGAACAAGCCGCGCAACCTTGTGGGTTGCGAGCTGATCCTCCGTGGCCCGGCGTATGTCGCCCAGCGGCACCCTCCAGAAGAGTTCCCTGGAGATGCGCCGCCACCGGGCCGCTGCCGTGCGAAGCAAATTTTGGCCAATCCAGCTTCCTCCCCTCCCTTCCCCTGCCCTCTTCCGCCTTCCCCTCCGCCTTCCCCTCCTGTTTGATGCAGATCTATTCCTTTTGTAGGACTCATTCCATCGTTTCCTTACTAAATGAATCAACAAATTGCAAAAACATGGTCGACCATTTGGATTGTCGGCAGTAATGGTGATAATTCATGATAATTCTTCTGTTCTGTGGATTTGGTCCTTTCTTCAAAGATTTATGGATATACAAGTTGCTCGAGCTTGAGCCAGCCAGCCTGTGTGCTTAAGGGCCTGGACAAAAAAAGCAAAAATCTACTATAGAAAAGGCCAGGCCTGCAAAAATCACACTGAATCCAAAGTCCCTATGGCCCTATAGGGCCATTCGTGAGGAGCCGTTCACATTCTGAGTTTACCCCGAGTAAGCTCGGAAGCAGCCCTGGTCGTGAGCCCGTACCTTCGGTTTCGCTGGCCAAACCCATTCCACATTCCTAGAGAGGTTGAACAGCCCCATAGCCCATCCCATATGTAGCACTACAGGGTCCTATCAGGTCTCTCAACCTCTCTTGGTTGTTTTTCCACCGACCCGTGAAGCTCATCCACCGGTCCAACTCCCATGATCAAACGCGGTGGCGCCGATGGATCGGGCCCGAGGAGCAGTTGGAAGACGAAGTCGCCGGATTGAAAGTCGCTGCTGCCTTGGCAAAGCCGAGACGAACCGTTGGGAAGTCGGTGATGAAAGGTGGTAAGAGGGAAGGTTTTAAGAGGGAAGGGTTCAGAATTGGTGCTGAAAGAGTGCAGATCATTCGCTTGAACATTCTGGGCCAACTGAATCAAAGACATTTGATATCTGGCCCTAAGGATCCGGACCCTAAAAAGCATAGGGTTTGTTTCGGGTCCAGACCCCTGCTATGGAGAGTCCGACCCCTGCTATAGAGGGCCCAAGGATTCTTAGGGTGGATTGAACTTTGAGCTGACCGAATTCCCCCTCGAATTACCAAACAAACTGAACATAACCCCTGAGTCCTTGGAAGATCAAGCTTCACAGTTTGTTGCCGCCAATTGCGCCTGTCCAATCCCTAAAAAGGCTAAAAGTGAACCACTGACTGGGCAGGATTTTGCATTGGCGTCTTGTGGGTGAGATTTCCAGATGCCAGTCCCTTCATTGCTCCCGGAGCAAATGATCAAATCTTTAAACATATTACATCGATATGAAGTTTGATTTATTTCAAAATCTCCACTGCCACCTCCTGAGGTCTATCATTTTCAGGAGACCTTTTTTGCGGACCGACCTGGATCCAGTCGGTTCCGATTTCGGTCACCATCCGACATGGCACCGTGGGAAGACTCACACTCACATGGTGGAAGTGGAACAACACCCTGTTTGGTCTGCGGAAGGCTCTCTTTTTTTTGGGTCTGCGGAACTCATGTTTATAAAGAAATCCAGCCGGCCCGGCCATCCACTTCCTTGTGATCTTCGATGATGATTTCAGTGTTCCCTCTAAAGATGGAAGTGGAGAAGCCCTTAGTGATTTTAAAGGGAACCAGTTGATCTTTTCCGGGGGGCCATGCCATCCACTTCCAACGTTGGAGGGTCAGTGGGTGCTGCTCCTCCCACACACCACACTACCTTGGCACTGTGCCGCTGTGTCATGGTGTGCTCTATGGTGCACGACGTAAACACACGCTCAGGTTCAAGCAGAAAAGGCCTGAACGAACGCAGTGGAAAAGAGGACGACCAATGAGTCGGTTCTCCCCCAAATCCACAGAACAATAGTTTAAAGCTTAATTAAACATCCAACGCTCAATGGTTTGGATTGTTGTTGTGAACAATATAGCCTAAAGTTTAATTCAGTAATCACAATCCAACACTCTCAACATCGGACCATTGAAATTTCCTGCACTTTGAGCGGTGTTCCGCCATCCGCCTCTATGCCCTCGTCCCTCGAACCTCGCTTCGGACACGCCATCCCTCCGTTCGCCCGGTGGGGTGTTCGGACGTGACGTGTTGGGCGGCCGCGCCGAGCTCGCGGTTTTCCAACAGGGACTTCGCACCCAAGACCAAGACCGAGATGTAGGCCAAGTTGATCATCCACTTCACCAACCTCGGGGCCGAGCAGATCGGTGGACCGCGAAGCTGCGAATGAAGGGCTGTTCTTTTGGGAGGATGGGAACGTCACAGCCCATTTTGAGGTGAGAAAACTGAGTCCTATAAACCCTATGGCCATCTATGGCCCTATGTGAGGAAGAAATAGTTGAAGCATGTCGAAAGTGATTCTCTTGGGTTCCAAGGCTTGAATCAAGTACATGACATTGGACATCATCAACGGAGGTATACCATTTGCAGCAGCGGGTATGGAGTTCCTATAGTTTTCTCTGTCAGCGTCAAGAGTGATAAAGTTATAGAGCCATGTTGCTGACATATGCTGACCAGGTTCTACATGGCCATTCTACAACAACATCCAGGTTCACGGATCATTCTTGTGGACCTTATTGGACTCGAGTGCTGAAGTTTCAATGAGAAGAATCATCATGTTTTTTTCAACTTCCGTCTCCGAACACCCTGGATCGATACATGTCCATCCAACTCAGCAACTCTTGGAACACACACGTCCCGTGGACTTCACCCTGTGTCCACCTCCAAGCGCGTTCCACCCGAAGGGAGTGCAGCAAACAGTCCACTTCCTTGAAGGCCATGGACCTTTCCCCCTATGAACGATAGTGGTTGACACGACACGCCCGGCGTGGCGCGTGTCGCGCCAGCCTGGAAACACCCGCGGCGAGGCGAGGTGCGGATTGGTGGTTGTTCGTCCCAAAATGCGGTTGGGACACGGGCAAAGACTTATCCCTAGGCCTGAGGGTAAGACTTATTCCGGAGGTAAGTGTCTCACAAAAGAAACAACTGATGAAAACCTATGACAACTAACAAATGGGTTTCAAACAGAAGTGTTCCAGGTGGACCTGATTAAATCCTTTCAATCCCATGACGGAATCTGCTTCCGGGCCATTTTCAGGCCACTTGCGCAGCGCGCCGCGTGCCTTTTTTGCGGGCGAGGGGCCACAGGGTATCGTTGGACCAATCTCGGGAGCTCTTGTGGTAGCTGACGAAGTACTTAGTCTCGTTGAGGAATCGGAGATCCACCCTGCGACGAGGCGTATCACGAGATCCTCTGTGGGGCGATGAAGAGGATCCGGAGTGGCTGTGGGGATTGGGAGGATCCGGAAGATGAATTCTACCTACCATTAGTATACGGTAGTATTCATTGTTATAGTAGGTTGGAGGCCATCACTACTTAGGGTGGAGGCCATCGCTACTAGGGTGGAGGCCATCGCTATTAAGTTGGAGGCCATCACTACTAGGGGTATACAGGTGTAGGTTGGTTGGCGGGCGAGCAGCTGGAATTTGGAGCGGGTGGACCAGTAGAAGTGAAAGGAAGCAATTTGGCTGCAGGATGAAATTGCTAGCACTTGTTGCATTCCCAAAGATCCTAACAACCTGACTCCTCAGTTTCCCTGGAAAATGAAGGTTCACCGATGTCCACCTGTTGACTTTGAGTGGCGCAGGCTGTCCACTGAATAGGAGAGGCAACACTGTTAAACCAGTAAAGAGTTTAGTCATGGTCGTGGCAAAGGGCTTGGTATGTGTTTAACACTGGACGATTTGACCATATTTGACAGATTGATTTGATTCAAGGTCTAGCTTCTAAGCCCTTCAGAAAGCTAACATGTCATGCTCGCGGATCTTGAAGGCCCGCCGTGAAACTGGGTCTTCCACAGGGTGGATCCTTGACTCATTCGATCTGCAGTAGTCACCCTCATGGATCCTCATCTATGAGTCAAAACGTGTGATTGTTGATATGAACTCTCCCAAAAGCATGTGCAAAAGGTGTGCTACCACAGTCCCCTGTTCTGTTCTTGTTTCCCAAGGAGCTGCATCTTCATCACAACATCTTCCCTTTGGCCTTTGAGGCAATTACAGTATATATCAAAAAAAATATGTGTTTTGAGGGCATCAGGCAGCTGTCAAGGGTCAGAGTCAGAGTCAAAAACACATCAGCAGCTAGCCCTCCAGGTCTTGATGAAGAAAGAAGAGACCCTAAGTAACTTGATCCAAGTAAGGCCAACCAAAACTGGATCCCTGCCGTCCGGACAACCTCCTACCCAGGCCAAAGCAAAGCACCTGCCCAACTTCTTTTAGGGGAATTGGGGACACCCCACATCACCCCACTAAAAGTCAACCGCGGTGGAAAACGCTTCACCTTCATTTTCCAAACAAACCGAGGCTGCTCCAAGACCCGTGAGCAGCACGCCATGTACAGTAGCAGAAGGTTGGGTTGGGGGGTCCGGACGACTCATAGAGCCGCGGGATCACTGTAGCCCCGGACCTGTACAGTGGGTTCAGAGTAGATGGCACAATCCCCCCAATGTCAGGTGGTTTATATGGACCCCCCCATCTAAATGATATGTAGGGGTGCCAGTGCCATCGAACCTCTGAAACCACTGTACAGGTCCGTGCCAGGCCAACCAAAAGGACACCGAAGAGTCGGGCCAAGTGGTGATCTCAGAGGTCTCTGAGATCACCTGCCGGGGGCGCCTTGAACAAATCCGTGAGGCCAAGCTCTTCAGAGGCAAACCCGCATGACCTTGGTGCAGATTCACATGGGACAGTTACTCCCCTGCTATTCGGACCACATGGAATCCCAAAACCACGGTCGGGTTGGTATTCGGAACATGGTCGAAACCACCGGTCAATTCTCAGGTTCCATGTGGTCCGTTTGCGGGAGAGTATCCGATATCGGTAGCCTGTATAATCCCTGGAAGTCCAAGACCATCATGTTAAAAATCTGCTATAGTGTAAAAACCCTATAGCAACACAATGGTCGATCGATGCCGTTCGGGATTCAGGCTATGTGGTACAAAGGGTGGTTTGACTTCTAGGGTATAATATGTAGTACGAAGGCAAGAGGCGCAACATGCTGCAAAACCATGGGTGACCTATCAAGCCAGCAACCAGGAAGGTCATTTAGTATTCGGGATTTGACCCCCCCTTTCTCCACTATACAATCTACAAACACACCCGGCCAGCTGATTATATTTATTATACACATTTTGTACACATTGCAATCTGAATCTGTCTCATTACTACATTGCTCAGCTCGATTGCTCTGCAAGAAAACATCTGCAAGGTTGGCGACTTGGAATCATCCGCAGCACGAAATACGTCCAACCGATCCAAGAGCTCGCTCCCCTTTTCCAAAGCCGGAAAAGGGATGTACTCCAGGAATCCCTCCCTCAAGCATCTTAAAACCACTGGGTTGTTATTCGGAAAATGGTCGAAACCACCGGTCAATTCTCAGGTTCCATGTGGTTCGTTTGCGAGTAGGTGCTTCCAAAAACGACCGTGGCCCCAGGCGGTCACAAAAGCCCAGCGGCCAACAGAAGGGGCCGGAAGAATCGTACACACCAACAGAGGTTCTGTTCTGATGTCCATTTCCCAAGGAACTGCCACTTCCAATCACCACAGACTTGACATCTCCATCTCTCCGCAGGTCTGGAGCCGTCTTCCTAGTGCTTCCCACCACCAAACGCGTCGGACGCAGCACCAAACGCGGCCAGCGGCAGAGCCACGAGAAGCTGTCGACCCAGGCAGCCTCAAGCAAAGACTCGACTCGATGCGGGGAAGGCCGATGTCATCCGGTGTGGTTTTGGGAGTGAATGTCTTGAAGGCGCCTGGAAGAGAGGATGCTTGGGCCCAGCCTTGTTTGGGATCTGTTGGAGTTCGAGAAAACTCCAAAGCACCCCCCAGACAGGGACTATGGGTCAAGCGAGCAACTACAATGGAATGGCTTTGGAACCGCCCAGCTGCCTGTTGTAACCGCATCACATACAGTTACAGCACAGTCACTACACCAGTCGAATCTCCACCACCAACGAGTGAGGGACAAATCCCCCATGAACCCGATCTCTTTGGCCGATATCTCGTCTCGTATGGCGTGACACCGAAGTCGTCTTTGTGAAGGTTCCCAAGTCTTGACAGCAGTTGCCAAATCGAATCACGATGTTTCTTCTCACATCCTATCCCAGCCCTATTCACTCAAAGTACCGTTTTTTTCAACCGCGACATCCCCCACACCAAACTCTGCACTTGCGCAAGCTCGAATCGCTTGACAGGTGGTCGAATCGCTGGGTGTAGTGGAGGCTAATGGAACAATTGCATGACAATAAAAAAAACAACAGCAGTTCCATGTCCGGCTGCCAAAGTCTTGGAGTGATGCTGGGATGCCCCTGTCACCTCCGCCTCCAAAATGACCCCGCTGCATTTGACAACCCAACTCAGTGGAATTCCTGGAACTCTCGTTCCGACTTAGAAGCCCCGTTGCAACCCAAAAAACATTGGGATGTGTCACTGTCATATATGTTTCATGATCTTTCCCTAAACAACCACTTGCTAAGTACAGCAATCACACCATTGGTACCATTTCTTTCTCCCTGGGACTGGATTTCAGGGAAGGGCCTCTTGTTGGATGGCCCTCGCTTTTGATGGGATCCGCCTCTTTTCGCGGACCGCGGGAGAACAAGCACACCGGAGGGAGCAGCGGATTCCACAGGTACCAGTGCTGAATGGGTAGCCATGAAACACCGCTGTATGCATGACATTGCATGACATCATGTATACAACTGTCAAGTTGTATGACATATCTGCATGCTATCTCCTTGTTATAAGTCCTTGTATGTCGCTGTATGATGACATATATCATATGACAAGGAGAACCACAACAGTCAAGTCATGACTCATGTAAATTGCTCCTTCTTTGGTAGTGGTGGATGATGACTTTGCAGGTGGCGTCAAACGAGTCAAACCGCCAGTTTTGAGAAAACGATCTGGTTTCTTTAAACAAAGTAACGCACATGGGAATTTGTTGGATCCCTTAATTCCATCAAGCAATCACATGGATGCGTCCTCGGAATGCTGAAGCAGCTATAGCTGTAGCGGGAATTCCTGATAGCCCCTGACCGGCTAGGTGGACCATGTTAGGTCGTCTGTTCCGTTCATTCTTGGTAAAAACCAGAATGTTCCGGCGCCGTGACCCTCAGTCAGTCCAAACCATCCGAGGTCCGCATACGACGGCTTTTTCGCGGGTCAAACAAACCCAAACACTCCGGGCGGCATATATAGCAGTCCCATGGAGTGCCTGCAGGGAAAGAGGAACCCGGAACCCCTTTCGCCGGCTTCGTGCTCCTCGCCTCGCCGGCCATCCGATGGAAGAGCAAGTCGCCCAGCCTGTGGAGAGAGAGAGAGAGAGCTTTCTCACGTCGAAAAGCGCAGCGCCCCTCCCCAGGCGCGGCCCACGCGGCGGGGGCGGTGCAGCCCGGCCGGATCCAGGGGACACGCCTGGGGCACCTATTGTGGTCCAAAAGCTTGAAGGTTGTCTTTTCAGTACTAACGAACTATATGTTGATATGAATTCTTTTGGGGGAGCTGATAAAGCTTCAATACACTGGAAAGGTTTGACATAGTCAAACTCTTGAGATGCAGTGATCTTACAAATATTTGATGTATGAAAAAACTACCAGAAAATAATTTTACATGACATCGCTATTAGGCTGGAGGCCATCGCTATTAGATCGGAGGCCATTGCTATTAGGCTGGAGGCCATCGCTAGTAGGTTGGATGCCATCGCTATTAGATCGGAGGCCATCGCTATTAGGCCGGAGGTCATCGCTAGTAGGTTGGAGGCCATCGCTAGAGGTTGGAGGCCATCACATTCTTTTCAATGTACTGCGGAGCCAAGTGGTGGCAATTGGTACCTTTCACCCAAGTCATTGGAGCAAGGCATATTGCTCTGCCAATAAAAAACAAGAATCACGCACACTGGTCACACCTTCTTTTGTTCCCAAGAAAGGATTGTCTTACTGCGGCACCCAATGATTCCTTGCACCAAAACAATCCAAAACATACCAAAAGTCTCCTCATGGAAGTGCCAGTTCACTCTGACCATCAACCGAGCAAAGCGATCTGGCTCTGTTTCACTGACCTTCATCCTTCATTCGATCCTCCCCAGCTTCGCTCGCAGCATTCTCCGACTCCCAACACCGACACTCCCAGCCTGTTGGCCCGTCGCAGTAGACCGAAGCAAAGCAAGACCTGGGTGGCCCGGCCCGACACGGCGGCACCGTGACCGGCGGACCGCGGAGAGCCCGGCCGATGGAACCGTTGCAGCGTGCGAGAGAGGGAAAAAGAGCCGGCGGCAAGGAGGCATGTTCATCCTCCCGCGCGATCTGGGAGCGGTCTGCATCGTCCGCTTATGACGTTGCTTCTTGTTGTATATGGTAGACATGGCTCAAAGTGACACTTGTCAAGGTGTCCTGCTGATCGCGGGTACCCCGGTACCCTACCTAAATTGTGAGCACATGGGTCCAAGACTTGTCGAAGGTGGTCGTCATCTCACTTGCAGCCCTATGGATCCACATACCTTCTCAGAACAACCTCTACAGCACAGCTTCCAGGTTTCGAGGAATCGCTCGGTCGGGCAACCAGTGGATCATAATTCAAACCAAAAACCACCTTCTCCTGCGAGGTCCTGCTTGGCACCCCAAAGAATTACTATGAATTACTACACAATTCCAGGGAAACGCTTGGAAACTGCATCAAAACATCCCCTAAGTATCATACAACACTTACCCTGCAGCTTGGCACCGAAGTGCTTGGCACCCCACATAGGACACCAACACCAAACATCGGTTGCACACCGGAGTCCGACATCCAGGGGTCGGCTCTGTTTCCAAACACCAAGGCGCCATGACCAATTGTCCGACGCCCGGCCCAGCCAGATTCTGCATGGTCTCACCCCAGCCGTTGCCTGTCGAAAGCCAAGCCGTAGCCGCGGCATGGACGGGTCGACCCTCAGAGGTGAAAAGGACCGAAGAGAAGGAACGACCAGGCGTACTAGAGGTCTTCTCTCCTGCTGCTCAGAGCTTTTGGAGCAGGTAGGAGCTGATAAACCAAAGACTCCAGCGAGCCCTATCCAAAATTCTCTGAGAGTTTTTCTGAATCGACATGTCAAACAGAGCGGCGATTTCGGGCACTGAGAAGACCCATGGGGCACCGGCGAGAGGGACATCATGTTGGAAGGGGAGAGGCGTTGACTCAGTGCCACCACCAAACCAGTGGATGAGTGTCAAACCCAATGGTGGGGGGCTTGACTAGAAGTGGTTGGTATAGGTGAGCGTCAAGATGTGGTAAGGAGATTCTGCTACGATTTCACCCATGTTCTCACTATTACCCAACCAATGGCCCTGGCTCTTGGAAAGAACATCTCTGGATAGAGGATCATGCTCTGCAGGCGTGCATCATGACCTTGCCAAAACAAAACCCCTTGCCTCAGGCATCCCAAGGGGGTTCAATTTATTGCATAATGTTGATGCTTCTTTTGGGAGGCAATTCACCTTCTCAGGCGGTGCAAACTAGCAGCAATGGCCCATTGGCCTCCAACCTTCTAGCGATGGCCTCCAGCCCAATAGCGATGGCCTCCAACCTAATAGCAATGGCCTCCAACCTAAAAGCGATTCGGCCTCCAGCCTAATAGCAATGGCCTTCAACCTAATAGCAATGGCCTCCAGCCTAATAGCAATGGTCTCCAGCCTAATAGCAATGGCCTCCAGCCCAAAAGCAATGGCCTCCAACCTAATAGCCATAGCCTAACAGCGATGGCCTCCAGCCTAATAGCAATGGCCTCCAACCTACTAGCAATGGCTTTTACTTGGCGAGAGAGGCCCCCCCCTAGCGCAGGTGGCGAGAAGAGGGCGAGATGTCAGACCGGAGACAAGCGTGAAAAGCAGAAACATGCATCGCTCAGAACAGGTAGGCCAGGAAGTAGCATCCGCAAGGGTCAACCGCCAGCCCTGGCAACTTTTGCCAGGCGGTTGCCCATCTTCAGTTTCTTCTGAAGGACATTGAAGGATCCATGAGGTGGAGACCACTCATACAAGCATTCAGAAGGAGTCCAAGAACATTCCATCTCAGGCCACCAGCCATATGAAAGCGGTCTCGTATGCTAGCGAAAGGTAGCTTCAACGATTCGGCAAACATCAGCCTGAGCAGGAAAGCAAGGTCGATGAGACCAGCCGAACACGCACGTGCCAGCACCTTGACGGTACAACGAACACACCTGGGCACACTGAACATAACCAGGTATGGCAGTACATCCACTCAAAGAAATAATTTGCTGAACAATGTGAGCAAATTGTGCAGCACTTTCATTCCAGGTGTAGCTAAAAGCGGTGGCCTCTGCACGCGAATGGGCCCAAGCAAAGGAGCTCTCCCCCTTAGGGTTCCTCCGATGGACAGGAATAAAACCCTTGGAGAAAATCATGAAGCTAAGAACCAGTTCCATCCAAGAAACTCCGATGGCAGCCTGGGGTATGGAATCAGCCGTGGGCGCCCATCGAAGAGGATGAGGCCAAGTCAGAACACAGGTCAACAGACTGGATCCCCAGTAGCCATGGGAGAAAAAGGCCTGTTGCTGAGCAAACTCTAACGAAAAGGACAAAGGATCCTGAACGGTCCAAGAGGCTAAGAAAGCAGCCATGGCCCCTGCCTGATACTGGGGATGTGGTTCTTGTGGATTCAGTGAAGCAGGAACAGAAGACACAAAGTCTTTCCTGTGTTTCTGAAGATCTAATGAAAGCTTATAGAATTCATACAATTGAGCAGCTTCCGATTCTCTGTTGAGGGTAGTGGTGTGCCATTTGTCTGTAAGAGCTGGAAGCAACTGACGACAAACCTCGTCTGCAGCTCGATCGGCAACAGCATTACCCAAGCTGTGATAACATTCCAAGTCTGGCAAAAGGGCAGACTGCGCATGACCCTTGATCTTGACAATGCGATTCACAGCTAAAGTGTCCAGGTTTTGTATTCTGTGGCACAGAGCTGGCTGAACATGTCTATGCAGCTGCTTACCCTGAACGTGCCTTGCGTTCTCAAAAGTGCTAATGGCGCTAGACGATCACTTCGCACACTGCAAGACGATCCAAAAGCAACCTACTTCTTAGTAGCCTCACCAGCAGCAATCTCACCCGCTAGCGCAACAGCGTCTGCAGTATGATATCGGAGCACTAAGCTTGGTAATGACGATCCAAGGTCTCCGGATTTTGTAAAACTTTGTGGCGTCTGGTAAAACGTGTTGTAACGTTCACTGCCAACATAAAAGTCAACATTCGGAGAATTGTCCCTCAGCCAGCTCCGGCGTATGTTTGTGATGTTGCACAAATTCATGCGCCGTTGTGAGAGCGTGGCGCTGTCGTCAAGCACATGTTCCTTCATACGGCCGGTTGACTGCTTCCACTCTGGCATAGTTGATCTGAAGCTCGAAATCATGGACAAGTTCCATGCCGAACATACAGTGTAATACAGGTAGCAGAGCATCAAATTCAGCCCATCTCAGTGAGTGATTGCGTTGCTCAGCAGCAGCCTGAGTTGTGAACCAAGATTGCACAGCAGAATGAGCCCATAGGCCCATGCACCAGCCTGTATTCGTCTTTTGGAGGTCATCGAAATCGTCCCACGACATGCCCTCACGAGAAACGAAAGCTCCACTGTCATTCAACGTGGACCATCCGACCATTCTCGAGAGCATCTCCTGTTGCCCAATCGTGCGATGGGAGAGGAAGTCTTCATAACATTCCTTCAACCCAACCAACCACCGACTGAGATCTCCACGGTAGTTGTATTTCACTGTCTTTCGATCAGGATGAGCGGGTTCCGTGGTGGACTTCTCGAAATAATATTTCGAGAGACATTCAATCATGGTGTCCCACGGCATCTGATGTGAGAGGGCCATCAAAACAAAGCTTGCAAAAGCTGAATGTACTTGTGTGCCCATATACCTCAACATCGATCGATTTTCATTGCCATCCGTAAGAATCCATCTGTTCGTGAAGGCATCAGTATCATCACCCTGCTTCCAGATCAATTGTTTTGCTCTCTCACTGCCACGCTGCTCTGGACAACAAAACGGCACTGATACCGTATACAACCTGTCCCCAGAGTGCGTTTCGCACACGCCGATGCTTTCGGTGCGAACAGTTGAGGCGTTGGAAAGCCTCATGATCGACAACTGATCAATCACTTCGGAATAGACAGAAGATTGCTCAACTGTAGGACCAAAGTGATGAAAGTCCGCTTTCAAGTGCATCCAGCGTGCACGGAGGCAACTCACAGTCATGCTGTCAAGAAGCACCGTTACAATCGGAGATTGTTGAAGATGCTTGAGTCGCACTCCTGACATGAGAAGAGCCTTTGCTCTAATGCAAGATACTGCAAGAGCTTGATCATCAGATAGGACAAGGGGTTGCAATCCATATAATGGTTGAACCGAAGCTTCCACCGAAGGTAATTCAATCCTCCGTTTGAGTGAAGGCTCCTCTTCCTTGTCTCCCTTATCTACAGGGCGTTTCTTGTCAACATTAGCCTTATCTTTATTCATCATCTTCAGCTTCAACTTCTCCTTGAGTACTGCAAAGCTCACTCTCTTCTTCTTCATTTCATCGACTTCATGAGCTTTCATTTCCTCATCAGGAGGAGGCTTCTCGTCATTGTCTTTTGCAGGATTCTTCCCAGGAGGAGAATTGCCTTTGCCTTTATTCTTCCCCTTTCTCTTGCCTTTTCCCATGGCTTGAGACGGAAAATACTACGACAGTGATATATATATATATATAAGAAAAGCCAATGAAACTGAAGTCAAATGCTTAGTGCTCACCCAGTAGCTAACTACTAGCAATGGCCTCCAACCTAATAGCGATGGCCTCCAGCCTAGTAGCAATGGCCTCCAACCTACTAGCGATGGCCTCCAACCTAATAGGGATGGCCT